ATTTATTTTTCTTCATGAACATCTCTAATGTGTTGCTGGACTACCACTGTTTAAATTTTTTCAATTATTGGTTTAAAATTAATAGAATATGCTTTTCAGAAAAAACTCAGTCATTACATATTTGCATTGCAGCACTCTGTAGTTAGGATGAAACTAGTTGCTTCACCAAGAACATATAATATTTTTATCAATAGTTACATCTCCATACTCCATATTAAAAATCAAGAGACATTTCTAAGTATTAACAAACATATGTCAATAATTCATTTCTAATCAAGAAAAATTCAGTTATTCTCTTTTTATTTTTATTTATATAATTTGTGTCCTTCTTGAAAAATTCATACAATTGCTATTTCTTTCAAAGAAAATCATAATAATAATCATAAACTTGAATTTTATAACAAAAAAGAATTTTTTCTAACAAAATTTCTTTATGGAAAAATGTATTATGTTATCTGGACATTCCATATCTTAATCTGAATTCTATAATTTTGAATTTAAGCTTAAATTTTCATAATTATATAAGTACCTAAATGTAAGATTTTTAGACTGTAATTCAACCAAGTTTTAATGAATTAAGTAATTTGGTCTAAAGATAGATGATTATGCTACCAACTTGCGTTAATATTAATAATTAAATTAAATAATTTAGAATATTGTAGAAGAATGATCCAGGCCAGGACTTGAATCACAACTTTCTGCTAACAGTGCAGATACATTACTAGTTATGCTAGCTATCCATTCTTCACTTTCAGATCTATTAATTTTAATCTTTTGACCATACAGGTTCATTGATGTACCAACTAGGGACATCTTTATTCCCATAGCCCTGTGAGGCTCTCAGCTGAAGCTTTATCCCACTGTCCTACCATGTCTGGATACCTCTCTATGGATAGCAAATGGATCCAATACAACAAGCACATCACAGATCCTACTATAAATATGCTTGTAATGTTATGAATGCAACATGTCTTGATCAAGAGAATTAATGGAGTTAGTGCAGGTTGATAGAGTGCCACATAGACAATCACTCTGTACATGATATTTCAGCAGCATTAAAGATTCCTAGGTTAATGTTTTCTAAAGTGACATACAAATGGAAATGGATAGGAGATGAATCTGCCAAGAAATAATGTGGGAAACCTATGAAGTTAACAGGACATGACAAGAGAGCTCTGCAAAGGACTATGTGCTCCAAACGCAATTCAATGTTGTCTTAAATCACTCAAATTCTACTGAGAGAATTGTGACTGACTTGAGCCCCAGTAAAATGCATAAAAACACTACATGATATGGTTTACTATGATTGTGTGTCTATTCACAAGCTTCTAATCATGTTGACAAATGCCACATGTTGATTAGCATAGTGTCAAGAGTGTTGTTGATTTTGAACCATAGAGTAATAAAAAACTGTGCTTTGGATAGATTAAGGTATGCAATCTACCAATTGATTGATTGATTGTATAATCAATTTTTGTCATATATGACTTCATCATTAATAACAATAAACAAGTAATAAATGCTAAACAATCATAGGAATTAACAAGTTTTATAAGATTATATGTTTTTCAAGACTAAGGTCATTTCATTATCTGGTCTCTAAACAAACTTAAACATTAATCTAACTTTTTGTGGCTAACTAGTCATAACTTTCAGTTTTTTTTTTTGTAAAATGTTCATTCTCTCAACAATAAATGTATGTTTATTCCATCACTAATAAGTGATTCGTGTGATTTATATATATGAGTCTGTGCAAATTCAGTAGCTGAGATAGGGACAGGAGAAGGTTATGTTGTTTGAATATGCAGCAAATTCATATAGAAAGGGGTTCAAGGATAGTTTACCACAACTTTAATAAGGCACCTCATATCATCCTGGCAGATGCTTTCCAGCCTTCATGATACATTGATCCCACTATTGCTACCTTCACTAGAAGAGCCTTCTTGTTACCATCAACACAAGCACTTGTAAACATTGAGTTAAACACCATTAGTTTGGTGGTACATACAGCTGGTTTTTCACATGCTAAGTTCATGCATGTGATTAACATGGTCAGGAAATCTCTATTTTCAAGCACCACGCTATGTAACAAAAGGTTTATAGTCCAACCATCATTACCACATCTTGGACCCCTTTCTATACGAATTTGCTGCTTATTCAAGCAACATAATCTTCTCCTGCCCCTATCTCCACTACCGAATTTGCACAGACTCATCTGCAATGATCAGGACAAATTCTCCATCTTTGATTTATATATGTTACTGTGAAAGACCAAAATTAGAGAATGTCGATATTCTCCAGTAAATGTCGACACATACAAAATACATCGGTGAAAGACTGAATATTTGGTTATATTATTATACATTCGAACAATCGCTGGTGTATGTAGACAAGCACAGATAAGCTTTGGTGAAGGTTGAAACGACATTCGAGAAACCAATGTTAACAGAGAGGCGACAGTCTGACACCAAATCCTTTGTGGGTAGCCGGAGGTAGGACAAGGTCGTACCTCTTTTCCCGGCAACGGTTTGGTAGAAACTGCCCACTTTGTCACTGGATAGTGTTTTTGTTCTTTTGATCTCATGAGATGGGGATCGGTTTGTCATATCGAGTGGCAGAGGATGAGAGGGGTCATCGGTAAGGCAGCGGCGATATTCAAATAAAAGACACCATTAACAGATCAATTCGTAATCACATAATAACAATCAGTTCGTAATTTGTAAAGAAAAGTTGCTTTCCATAGATGAGATTTCTTCTCAAGAAATATCGCTGAGAGAAGCAGCTGCAGCTAATTTGAAAAGTGGAGGGCAAGGCTGTACACGCTGTCATTGCAAAAAGAAGTGTACCACGAATAAATGCAGTTGTAAAAGCAAGGGACTCTTGTACAATTCAAAGTGCCATAACAATTTAAGTTGTTGTTAATCACATAATTTATGTGTAAGTTTATTATTGAATTAATTTCTTTTCTGATTAAGAATGTACTGTTCGTTTTAGGTTCAACAGTTTATTTACATGTGCTATTACTTAAGCTTTCTCCTATTTTGACATATTAAAAAGTTGCATTTTTGACTTAACGTAATAAAAATATTTTTATTCAACATTTACCATCAGTGCATGCTGAATGTCGACATTTGCTGGTGTAAGTGAGAAATAATGATATTTAGCAAATATTTCCTACATATACGAAACGACTGTGTGAATGCTGACATTCACCGGAGAATGTTGACATTTGCCAGATATTGGTCATTCACAGTAACATATATATTTACTGAAAGTCAGTGCCATGAAGATGTCCCAGACAGTGGTAATCTTTTGGTTTACATGCAGTTTATAAAAAACTTCTGTCATCCAAATGATGCAAAATCATGTCAATCAGCAGCAAATTTCCTTTCTTTTTCACAAATGTTCTTTTAATCTTACACAAAATTCTCAAAATATACTTCTTATATAAAACAAGGTGTTACCAACTCCTTTTAAAGCTACTGGGATATTAATATATATATATATATATATATACTGTTTTTTTTTATTAGGTCTTAGTAGGGCATCTAATAATTTATTTTGATCTAATTTCTTTTGGTGTGGTCTTAGCAGCCTAATAGCATCCAGGCCTATCAACTTGACAAATCTGTTATCATATGTTGTTTACTAAATTATTAAATTATCAGAGTTACAATAAATTGTTCTGATTTTTTTTTTTGCAAAATTTATGAAAAGTATAATAGAAAGTTGAAATAGTGACTACTTTCACCAATAACATTTTGGGAGTTTGGTGTAAGATTAAAAGAACATCAAATAACAATAAGAAGTACTTTCATTTACAGAATATGTACAGTACATAGATATTAAATGGCATAAATATCATTATATCAACAGTTGACCATAGTAATAAATACAATAATTAATAATAAGATCTTTAATAATGACAATTAAAAAAAGATAAAAATATCCTCTGATGCTTTTTCATGTTTTTTATGTAATCTTGTATGTGTTTGAAAGGATTTTTAAGATATCTATTTTTGTTTGTATTCAAAAAATCTCACCATATCACCAGTTGGCTTGAATTCTGGTAATAAATTACTAGATCTGACAATATTGCCCTGTTCCCACTATGTACTTAATGGCTAAAAAACAAAATGCTTATGCTCATAAAAGGCTACACTATATTCACCTCTATCCAAACAACAATGGAAAGATTCCATATTATTCAAATAAAGCCCAAATTTTGTTTTTGCTTCATTCATCCGTTTTTGGACGTCAGCTTTACCACTTGTGTCTGGATAAAACATATTTTATACAAGTTCAACATTAATAGATCATTAATAGATTTTAACCAAAAGACTTGGATAAAATTAGCATTAGTCAGTTAATTAACCCTAGCTATATCCAATTCATAGGCTTTAGCCTTAACACCAGTCTAAGTTTACCTTTTCTTCCAGAATATTCTAAATTAATAAATAATTTAAATTATTAATATTAATACAAGATGGTAGCCTATCTATCTTTAGACAATATCACTTAGTTTTATTAATTAAAGTTTGGCTGAATTATAGTCTGAAAAAACCAACATTTAGATTTTTATTCTATAACTTTAATTGTAAAAATAAAATTAATTAATATTATATAAAATTTATAAACTATCAAGACAAAATAGTTGGTTGTTTGAAATCTGCAATCTCTAGAATTAGTGACACTTGAAAATTTATTAAATTAGAATAATCAAATATTTGTAGAATAAAAGCAGACTAATCACTAACAATATATAAAGTTTAATAAAAACACAAAAATTAGTGAATTTTGCAAGTATTTTTGTACTTATTTAAAGTAATTATTAAATAAAGAATGTGTGGCTTGTATTTTTATTAAACTTTATATTACATAATAATCAAATATTTTGAATATTAGCTAGAAATATTGTAAATTGGTTGCATATTTCAAGACTTCACTATATTTAAATGTTGTTAGTCAATAGTGAAATAAGATTATCTTAAAATTTTTAGATAGTGTAGAAGGTATCATCATAGATGATATTCCAGATCTTCTCCCTAAAGGAATAGAAGGTTAGTAAAAAAAAATATATATTTTATATAATAATTATATGTATTATATATAATATAATGCATATAAAAAATTAAAATACTAATATATATTAATAGAACTTAAAACTTCTATACATAGTTCACTTATAAGATATTTGTTGCAATCTAATCTTTGATTATTTTTTTTTATTTGAAATTTTTACAGTATTAGAATTAAATGAATGTTTCAGTGCAGTTTTATTGGCAAGTGTATATTGATTATTAGAGTGAATTTTTTATTTTTACTGTTATTAGTGTTAACATTTGCATAAGATAATCTGCATTAAAATACAAGTTCAATTCTTAAGTCAAAACAATACTTTATTGGAGACAATACTAAAAGCAAACAACAACATATTAATTTGCAAGTAATCTTAGATAACTCATTTTCAGAGAATATTTTTCAATAATAAAATTAGAAAACATTAGAATTTAAAAAAAAAAAGAAAAGANAATTATATATAAAATTGATAGATTTTTCGAGGAGTGGAATTTTGATTGTTATGTATGTTTGCGTGTTTCTATTACTGTAACTATTTAATTAACTTGGCTTTGAGATGACTAATAGCAAGCATACAATGAGAAAGTCATGAAGCGAGTGGGACCCTCTATTTTCAATCTCATTCTTTCTACAGATTTATGTTGTCTTTCACGGAAACCGGCTAATCCGGCCTACTGAGAAGTACAAAATGTAGCTTACATCCGGTCTTATACAATGTTGTACTTTTATTTTCTATAGAAAATAATGTTGTACTTTGTGTAGTATGTGTTGTACTTGTGTATTTGTAGTGTTGTATTTTCTATTAGAAAATACAATAATAATACAATTAAGATGAGCATTAAACTTTCATTTTTTTTAAAAACAGCTTTTTTAACCCTAGATAACTAATCATTTGTCCACACAACGTATCTCCGCTCGAAAGTGAAATTCAGAAACTTTCCCGCGCTTCCTGCTGGTCATTCTTTTTTTACCTTAATAATTTGAATAAACAGTGCTGTGTGTGATGTAATTGTGTTCACACGTCAATTAGAAATTGACTAATGGCCATCCCGTAGTCTGCTCGACGAAAGTTTAGTTGCTACGTAACTTTGTTGCAAAGTCATGTACATTATGTACATTGTCTTCCAGTTTTTTTCTCAGCCTTGGTTTGGGAAAGTTCACACAGTACAATATCATCTGCAACCAGCATACTCCACAGAGCCTCACACTTCACGTCACACACCAACACATCCATTATCAGGTCAAACAAATAAGGGCTAAGGGCCGATCTTTGATGCAAACCAACTTTAACAAAGAACCCTTCTGTAGTGCCATCTGTAGTGCCCACACTTTTCACACTTGTACGATAAAGTTTTGTTAAAGAAAGTTGGAAGATTTAAGGATTATTTTGCAATTTTATTTTTCTTTTGGATGCTGCAGTTTCTCAGTGCTTATCACAAGCTACAGCTGATTATGCATCATTAAAGAGTCCTTTAGTGTGTCTTAGTTTTTGTTATGTTTTCACTGTTTTGAGTAATAAATAAAATTTAGCAAAATAAATTCCTGAAACTTGCCTACAGACTAATCATGGAAAGGAATATTTATATTAATGAAGTTTTGGAATCCATCAGTATATAATCTACTGTACAAAATTTTCTATATACTGAATACTGCATAGAACTTGTAGAGTTTTATAATGTGTATTAATATGCAATAATACAATATTTACATAATAATACAAATATCTTTACTTATGACATCTAGTAAATTTACTAGAAAGAATTTTAATTAAATTACATAAAATAAATTTTATTTCTGTACAATATACAATATATAACATTTTATATATAACAGTTACATTTTTATCTATGAATAGTGAATTATGATAACAATAAAGATCATATTAATATTTCTTGTAAATAGCTGACCCAAATTGTGTGAAATCTGAACAATTATCATTTTTTTGTTCTTCATAAAACTTTGTAAAAGAAAATGATCTTTAGCTTTGTAATTCTCTGGTCAACAACATAAAAGAGCATTCTCTTTGTTTGATTGAAGATTTTGGCAAATGTTATTCTGAGAAGTTAGATGGCAATTTTTAGATGAAAGACCATTTTTCTGCAGTGGAAAACTTCAGTCTACCAGACTCCTTTTCAATGAAAGAAAAGGAAAAAATTATTGAACTGTTCTGTAATGAAATCCTCAAGTTCATTATCATTGTCACCAATCACTAGTTTCAATGAAACATTTTTGATAGATATTTAGTTCCAGAGACTGAACAAATTTCCACATATTGCTGACATTTTCCTCAAATTTATGATGCCTACAACCTATATTTACATATCTATATATATGAATGTGATCATCTATGGTGCACTTAAAAAAATAAGTACCACAATAAGCTAAATTTGGAACCAGTCCATCACTTGTCTGGTCGTCCAGTTGGAACTTTCATCTGAAAGCTGTGTCAAGCTATGTATTCATACTCCTCTCACTGAAAACTTTAATAAATCGCTCAACTATAGAATTAGAATTAAAAATTTTGATTAGAAAAATTTATGTTTAGATTGAAAAAAAATAAAACTTTTCTACAAACTTTTTACAATAAATTGTTTTTTTTTTAAAGTTTTTTTTATTATAACAATTTTCAATAAGATATAATGTTAAGGCAATAAAACTAAGTTTCTTTAAATAGCTTTTTCATATTTCAAAAATGTTTATTACAGATTTGTTTTTTTCAATAGATTAAAAATTGTCTGAATAATTTGTCAAGTAGTAATAAAAAAATTTTAAAATATGTCATTTAAAGAAATTCAATTATCTATTGTTTTTAAACATGAAAATATACTAACTATTTATATGGGCAAAAACATCTACAGCAGTAGGAAATTTTTACCTACAAAACATTTTAATCAATTATAATACATTTATTTGATTACTAAAATGAAATACAGTGGGTGATCGGTTAACGAACAAATCGGATAATGAACACTTTCGTGAAAGATTTTGATGTTCGGACAACGAACACATGATCGGATAACGAACACCTCACAGAACAAACACAAGAAGAAGCAACATAAAATAATGAATACCAATTGGTCTTCCCATGTCTTCGGGAAACAATTCGAAACTTTTCGGAGTGTGGAAAACGTCGACATCAACACTCAAGCCGGTATATACCAATCGGATAGTATTCCTCCGAACTTTGAAACTCTCCCTTGTAATTCCAGCCTTTTATTTTTCTGACAAAATAATTCTTTTATGTATTCGCTAGACTGTCGGGTAGGCACTTGTTAAGTTTTGCATCTGTTTTTCTTTTCGAAAGGTGAGAGTATAATACCAAAGGTGGAGAGTGGGCAGAAGATGCCTAATGTTGCTGGGCAGTATGGCGTGAACAGGTCTACAGTAGGCAGCAGTTCAATCTTATTTAAGAAAAATACTGTATAATCCAGAAAACTCAAGCAGCTAAAGGAGTAACAAAAATCAAATCTGAGAAATAAAGAACATCGAAGAGTTCATAATGGAACCCGAAACGGATCTGACGATAGAAGAACGCTAANGTCGTCGAGATGTGATGGAATGGTTCCTTCGCGAACAAGGGACACTCCTTCAAAATGGGACTATCTTGGAAAGGAGAGGAAGACCCAGAGGCTGCAGCCGCCGCAGAACTTCCAAGATCGCGGAAATCTTGTAAGCTTCTTTCGTGTTTAATAAACTGTTGTGTTGTTTGTAAACGAAGCATCTATCTCTGACTCAACTGCTTCCACATGTCGTTGATTGTTACCGCTCGGCAATCCAAACGGCAAGGGAGACGATGAAGATACATATCACATATTATCGTTCATTCGTAAAGTTAAATTTCTCCCCCCCTCGGCCCCCACACAGTTATTATGAAAATATATTCGTTCAAATTAAACGCTGATAATGTTGTTTACAGCTTTTTATTCAGAAAAAGAAAATAACAATCCCAGAACGATAGAAACTGTTAAAACGGACAAAATGAAAATCAATAAGACAACATTTTTATAAATATTCTTAAGACTTTTAAAATCATTAAAAATTCTCTGTATTTCTAACGTCAAAACAGGTTTACAACGGGGTAGTGGTGAGAGATCCTTCCTTGTGACCGAAGACACCCTTACTTCTATAACTGGAGCAGTTAAAGAGAACAATGGAATAGTCTTTAAAAACTATTTTAATTAATTACTTTTATTCTTTAAAACCATTATAATGTAAGCATTATAGTTAAATGGAGATATTTTCTCTCGATAAGATCAGAATTTTTTAGTAACAAAAACAATTGAATAAAGATGATAAATCTTTAATTGTAAAAATACAATTAAGATTTATCATGGAAGATTGTAGTGTTTCGTATCTATCGATACCTTCGCCTGCCAGAATTTTGATCGGAAATTCTGCAAAGGTTATTGTAATCCTTTATATAAGTTACATGCTCGATACGTTTATATTTTATGTCTGTCTTCCTCCCCTATTGTTTTGATAAAAGTATTACAAGTAAGAAAGTCGTTAGTTAATTAATGAGTTTCTTAATTAATTGTAAAATTATATAAAATGGATAGAAACATCTGTTTTCTTAATAATTAGCACTGTGAGCCCAGCGCTGCTCAGGCAAAAAATAACAACAGCAAAGATTAAGATTATTGGTTATTTCGTACTTCTAATTTTTCTATTATATTAATTCCTTTCTTAAACTCGAAAACGGAGTTAGATACATGAAAGTCGAGACGAGAAATAGAAATGGTAAGAGAAAGAGCACAAGACTAACTATTGTATATATTAACTTCCGATTTGTACCGTAAGTCACGTTATTTCAATTCAAAAATTTTTTCTCTGAATGGAGTTCGATGCATAACCGGCGCGGTTCTATCGTTAACAGGAAAGTTACGATGTACTGTACAGGAGCAAAAGACTACTAAACTTCACTAGGCAAGTGCTATGTACTGTACTACCTGTCGTAGTGACGCATCCATTTCGCTCTATATCATTTTTGCAGTGATTCAGTGATTATAATATATATATATATATATTTATTTATTTATTTGTTTTAATATTCAGTGTCAGAATTGATAAAATCAGAACTTTTTCTAATTATGGTCTTATTTATTTACTCCATGTGATGATGTCATTTGATTTTTGTTATTAGTATAGGTAAATCCTGAAGTGATTATAATGAGCAGATTCTATTCTATAATTAACAATAAAATTTAATTAATATAGTTATCAAGAGAATAACTAAAATTTTTTAAAATTGTTTAGTGGGAGAGCACGAACTGATAGTAATAGTACTACAGCTAGTTGTGTAAGTGGAGATCTTATGTCAAGTGAAAGTAGTTGTAAATTAGAAAAATCACCAGAGAAAGAAAGTGATAAAAAAGAGAAAGGGTAAGTAATTAAATTCTGTTATGTTTTAATATGCAAATAATATTGTAAGTACTTTAGTATAAAAGTATAGAGAAATTATTTTATAATTGCATTGGAAATGATAGACTAAATGTTAATTGTTAGTTATCTATTAATAACAAACAGAACTAAAAAATTGAAATTCAAGGTAGCTTATGGCCTGAATATTAGATGGTATTAATATAAGATGTTAAAATTTTTTATATACAATGACTATAATTACATGTTTTTTTGTTTGAGATAGCTCCAGAAAACCCTGAATATGGATTCAGAAATTTTTGAAGTTTTAAAATACAAGATATATTATTATTCAAAGTATGGGGAAAAGAATCCTATAAAAATTTTAGTTTCAAAACATACCAATTGTAAAAATATGGCACTGTACAAAGTGAAATAAATTACAAGATAAAAGATAAATGAGTATTAAAGATTAATTTTTGTGTTCTTCATTTAACAGCAATGATATATTAATTGAAACTTTACATTTTTACAATTACTGACATATGAGAAGAATTGTTTTCAGAATTCAAAAAATTATTGAATTCTCTCATGATTGAGTTGTTGCTTTTGTGGACTGAAAATTTCATTTAGTATGCAATATGTTTGAAAGAAGAATATAACTTCTCTGAAAGGATATCCAATATCAACTGTGTTACATTGTCTTCTAAAACTGCTAAGTTAGAGATATTTCCATAATAGACATTGCCTAAGATAACCCCACAACCAAAAATCATACAGATTAATGTCAGAAAAGTGAAGTGGCTGTTTTATTAATAATAGTGGTTTTTGTTATTTGTTTATCTATATCTTGTAATACTATAGATTACATCTTATACATCATCATACTTCTCCTATCAGCAGACTTCAAAACTAAAAAGTTTTTCCATGAAATCTCTTTCTTCTGCTTTTAAAACCAAATGTGAACCGCCGGGGAGGTCGGAAACCGTCGACTCTCCCTTTTCGGCGTCAGGTCGTTAAACCTGCTCACTTGTCAAGATGGCTAAATTTCGGATGCGGTCCCGAAGGGTCGGGATTTTTGTTGTCAGGTCGAGTGGAGGAGGTGAGAGGGGTCGTCGACGAGGCGTAGGCGATATACGAGTAAAAGGACACCATTTAACAATGAGAACAACAATTTATTAGACTAACAAGACCGTAATTAATGATTACAAAAGCTAACATCGGGGGGGAGTGAAATTATTTCGCCTAACTCCTACTCGCGGAGAGAGAGTTTACATTCATCGTTTCATACCTCTAGTCGATTCCAACGTAGGCACAGAGTTGACGCACAAAGTTAAAGTTCCCGACGACGTAATCCTTTTGGACGGTAGATGTGAGACTCCCCCGAGGAGGGGGAAAGAAGGCGCTTTTATAGCTTCGGGCTGGGAAAATCAATCATGTGATCACCTATTGTGAGCGATAGGGTTGGTCCTGCAGGTGTGGAGGTTAAAGTTGTTCCCGGGATCCAAAACAAAATGACGAATTCGGACTTTAACTATAAACTTTTTGTCTTGCAGCAGGGGAATGTCATTGTTCGAGGGTTGAATGTTTATACCAAAGCAGAATGTTATCAGTTTCCATCGACATCTGATTCTTTTTTCGACAATGTTATTTTAACGCGGAGGCGACAAATTCATTTCAATTACGTCGAAAATTTTGGGAGAACATGAACAATTTTTGTTTTTAGATTATACTGGAATCGGATCTCACACAAATATGATAATGCCATTCCAACTATTGATGAACTTTAAAAAGTTTCAAATACGAAACATTAAATTACAATTGCCTTATATGTTTATATAAAAGTCAAGAGAATATCATAACTGACTTAAAGTATAATTATAAAAAGTGCATTCAAAATTTTAAAATTCTAATAGTATTGTAATTTATTTCATATATATCAAAACCAGGCAAATTCTGAAAGTTAATATAAGTAGTTCAATTAAAAAGAAATATTTCAAATACAGTAATACCTCGAACTTACGCGATAGGTGGGACTGAGCGATAACCGCGTAAGTCGGGGTATAATTTTGCAATCTGTGTAAAATCCAAGTCGGATGTATGTAAGCTAATAAATGCTCTCGTTAATCTTATCTCTTCTTTTGATTCGTTCACAGTTACAAGAAATCACCACATAGTCTCTCAAGTCTCCATAGATATAACAAACACAGAAATAAATAACACAAAATAAATTGTAGCTATGTTTCGATTCTGCATGGCATGTTCGAACATGTAAGCTGAACAATAGTGTTGGGGGAGTGAGTAATCAAGAGTTGCATGGCGTTCAAACAAAAGACGAATCAACGAGATTTGAAAATCACATAACTCCAGGTTCGCATAAGTCGGGGTAGCGTAAGTCGAGGTATTACTGTACTAAAGATTTATATAAATTTTTTCTCTTGTATCTGACTTTTTTATAGTTACACATATGGTCTGATTTTTTTTTATTCATATAGTATTCGAATTTCATGAATTATGAGAGTATATTTTATACATTTAATATATCTTTTAATACTTTATAATACTAATGTGTTTTTATAATATTTTTATATTTTTTCTAGTAGCTTTATTAAAGGAATAAGCAGTCTTTTCAGTAGAGTAGCTACAGAAGCAGCTCATATACATAAATCAAAATCATATGATGTAAGTGATAAATCCAGTTCTGCAGATCCTTCTCCAACACATTTAATAGGAAAAGAAAGAGAAAGCAGGTATCTACAACCAGGATTTGGAAACAATGGCGAAAGAAGTCATTTTTCATCATCTCCACAGTTGGACAGTAGAAGTAAAAAAGACATTGAAGGTTTGTTTAAGATTAGATTTAAAATAATTTTCAAAAATTAAATTTTAATTATATGAAAAATTATCTTCAATTTTAATAGTTCATTGCAATTTTGTTAAAACACTGCTGAATATAAATCAAATGATATAAAGTTGTGAATTTAGAATCGATTACACAGTTTAATGAATATATAAATGGATTTATATTGTAAATTCTAGATGTACAGAGTGTTTGCTTGAAAGTACCCAATTTAATACTTTCTCTCACAGCTCCCCTCAGCTATTAATGGCTGGATTTGACTCCTAAACAGTCTTTTTCTAGAGGCCTGGGATATTTAGAGGTTTTCATGCAAAATAAATGCTGTTTCAAATATTGCAGTCCTCTATAGCATATGGATGTTGATTCAGTTGAGCTCTAGATTCCTCGGATGACTCCTAGTGCTCCAACTATCAATACAATTGGAATTATGACTGTTTTCTTCTTCCACAATTGTTCAACCTTCATTCTCTAAATGTTTTTCCTCCACTCTTCTGACACTTGGGACTACCACATCTATAATCCATATCTTGTAATTTTCCAGTTTAATTTCAACTATACATTACTATTTACTTTTTAACTGCTTTCTTAGAATGCTTCTTAGAGGTTGTCAATTTTTGATGTTAAGAAGCACTTCAACAAAGTAGTTTAGTCTTGTAATTTTCTATCAGCAAAATGTCTGGAGTATTATGAGTCAGATATATGCACATGTCATTTTCATGCAAAACTCCCATAATATTTTATTTACATCTGCAAAGTAATACTATATAGCAGAGGTCACCAACTTTTCTGACTTCACAGACCACTAAACTCTCAATTTTGAATCCCACAGACCACTATCATAAATTTTTTTTAAGTGATACAAATGTCTATAGAATAATGATCACAAATGTTCCATTTTACTTAATTAATATGAAATTCACTTGTTTAATTATAACAAATTAGTTTGAGGTTTGTTGCTGCTTGTTTGAAATAACTTTATGGGTTCTTGACTCTTTTCCACAAAGGATGACAATCGCACTCACAGCATTATTTATTGACATTATTATTTGTGCCGCTCACTTGCCAAATCGATTAATTCCATAAAACAAAAAGTGAAGAAAAGTGACTAAGTAATATATATTCTTTTTTAAAATTCCTTGTAAAATATAAATTGAAACAAACATTGTAGAATGTATTATTGTAAATATAGCTTTTATTCAACAACATATAAAATGTATAAGATAGCATAGATATGCTATAATTGTTATTATTATTGTGATTTTGGTGTGATTGAGAGAGTTAATCGATTTGGCAAGTGAAAAATGTAATAACATCAAATTCAGTCTTCACATTAGCACACATTTTTTATCAAAACTTTTTTGCAAAAATGAATAATAACTATTCTGTTACTGTTACAATGGTTAACAGTAACAGAATAAAAATAAAATTGAAGACAGTCTGCCCAAAAGGGACCACCATTTATTATTTCTGTGTTCCAGACAATGCACATTCGTGGCAACAGACCTTTTCTTGTAGGCTACTTGTTGCCAGAAGTTTAAAAAGTTCTTTTAAAACAGTAATTTACAGAGTAACAGAATACTTAATTTAAACGAAATAGTAATAATTTTGTTTAAATTAATTATTCAGCAATATAAATGATGTCTTTTTCGTCAGCTGTATTTGAGTCCCATTATCTCGATTTGTTGTTAAATTTTTATAAGAATCGTGTTTAATAAGAGGAATGAAAAAAATTGTTTTTAGTTTTATCCATCTTGATATAACGGGTTTTTTTTTTCTAAAAACAATTGTCGCCAAAATTAAAACAATCGTTCAATATTCCACAAGTATGTTTACTTCTGCGGCAGTTGGACTCTAACTAACTAATTTCTTTTACTTACGTTTTGTGATGAGATAACATTAAATAAGTTACTGTTATCTACAAAGCACTGGTCATCACACACTGCAGCATTGCAATTGGAGTGTGTGCGTGCGGATTAACGTTGCAGTATGGAGTTACTTAGATTGGCTTCTGAAATAAATAAAAAATTTTTTGATGGCCAATAAAATTTTGTCATTAAGTGGTATTGATCCTTATTATTAGGAAAACTTGATATACTCATAACTTTTTATATTTATAATAAGTGCTTTCACACTAAAATTTAAAAAAATTCAAAATGTGGAGTTAATCAATTGGCTTGTGAATGGCTCATTTAATGATTACAGTCATTTTATATTTGGTTTTAGATTCAAATAAAATATTCCCAATGAGTGAGAAAAAGTAGCCAAGCATTTTGCATTCTTTTGTAATACTTTGCATAACCTTCAGTTCATCACTGTCCAAATTTCTCCATGGACCACCAAAATTTTCTCGCAGACCATCAGTGGTCCATGTACTGTTGGTTGGTGACTGCTGCTCTATAGCATATGATGACTACCCACAAAAAATAGCTTTGCCCCATAAAAACAGTTTTCTCCCATTTTCAACAATCTTTTTTTCTATTTTATGATCATATTAAGTCTTGCTGCAATGAAAGCAATACTTTCTGCAAAGGTTTGAGTGAATCATTGGGTTGCAATTTAAAAAATGGTAGACATAAATTTTCACTGTTGTCTATCTTTCCTTAATCTTGAGAACAGAGTTAGATAGATGAAAGATGAGACCAGATATGGAAACCTAGGGTCAGGATTAACTATATAAGAACTTCTGATGCAAACTGGAAGTCATGTTATTTAAATTCAAAAATTTTTCTCCAAAAGGTGTTAGATAGATGATTGGCACAATTGCTGTTAAAGGAAAAGTATGATGTGCAGGGGCAAGCCACTACTAATTTGAAATGGAAAGCATATATTTTAAGTTAAATAAAAATTAAAAATATGATTAAAAATTGCAGCCTGCTAAATAATTGCTTATTGTTAATACTTTGTTATGTCATTTAAAGTAGTAAGTTTGCATGATTTTCTTGCAGCAGCTTATGATATGCTTGCAAGTTTTTCACTCATTGCAGAGATAGTGTTTGGGATAATTATATGACTTTTCAATTTGTGTTTTAATTGCATTTGTTCTTAGTGTTTGTTTCCTATACAGCAAAAATTGAGCCTTCTGTTTTTTTCTTCTTAACCACTCTAACATGAGAGTAGTTCTTCTTCTATCAATTTTTTCATCAATATTCTTAAGGTATTGGCCATGGAGGGCTTTATTTTTCAGGTTGGACTTCATATTGTCAATTGCACTTTTCAGTATGCTTCCTTTGTTTCTTTGGTTTGCAGTAATTAATCATTACTGCAAACCAAGCAATTTCCATGTCCATGTCTTCATTTTATTTTATGTATTCCAATAGGGCTCTATTTTCTTCTTCAATAGTTTGTTTAATTGTTTAATCTGTTAGTTCTTTTCCTCCTTCACTGTACAGAAAATAGTCTGTCAGTGTCACTTTGTGGATGTAAGGCTTGATTAAGTGTCGTTATTTTGTGTTTTTTGGTCTAAAGCATCCAATTAAGTCCAAGTCAAATATGGTCAGTTATGCCAGCAATGTAACGTATTAAGACTATTTAAACATATTTATTTAAATATGATAGGATTATGTAAATATATAAAGTTCTGTTTTCACCAAACCAAAGAAAAATTACTAAAAGCTCCTGTTTTATTATGTTTTAGCATTACATGCAGTTGTGTTGAAAAGTTGAGTCTATGTTATACATTTACTGTTGTGTGATGGATATTGTAATTTAGTAGGTTATTTATTATTGCATAACTTTCTACAGTTACGGAGAACAACTAATTATGCAATTATATAAATTATCTGTTTGATTTTAACTTGGAATTACTCATTAAACAGATTTTCCTTGTTGAAAAACTCATCAAGAATTCTTTAAAATTTTAATTGTATTTACCGATGGTATTTTATATTTCTTACAGATATCTCACGAATTCGTGGGCTAGATAAATTTTCATCTGGATTAACTTCTGGCAGTGGACTAATGGCAGAAATGAAAGCACGTCAAGAAAAAAGAGCTTCTAATATTCCAGTTTCAAAACAGGTATTACTACTATTGATTTTTTTAATACTTTAATAACATATCCTATATCATTTTGCTACAATATTAAAATTATATTTACATATAAATATCACTTATGGTAGCTGTTATTACGTACTTTGAATGTATGTCTCTTTAATCCGAAATTAAGTCTGGTAGATTATTATTACAGCTTTCAGGTTATTGTTTTCACATATGCATTTCGGGCTTATATAAATGCTAAGCCCCTCTTCAGTGCAATACTACAAATTATTATTTAAAAAAAAAAACATCAATTATCAATCTTGCAAATTTTGAGGTTTATAATGATTTTTACAGACAAATAGATGGTGTCAGTATGGGGTCAAAGATGGGGCCAAAACTTGCTGAATTAGTTATGAAAAATATTGATGAAAAAATACAAAATATCCTACAATAATATTAAATACTATAAATAATATAAATGAAGATATAAAATTTGATATTGAATTAGAAAAATATAACCAAATAAATTTTTTAGACATAACAATAACTAATGAAATAGAAAAATTTTCTTTTAAAATGTTTAAAAACCCATGTAGCATCAATAAAACCATCAATTATCAATCTTGCATCCCTGAAACTATAAAAAAGAACACCTACATAAAGGGTCTAAAAAATATATATACAAGAACTACTAATAATATAAATTAAATTTGAATTAAAAGAATTAGAGAATAAATTTATTTTGAATAATTACCCAGTTACAAGTTAAAAATGTGGCACAATCAGTATTATAAAAATAGATTTAATATCAAATATAAAAAAGATAAGAATTATAAAGCTTTTCCTTATATCAATAATGTTTATAATAATTGTAGTAAGATTTTAAAAAAAGAAAATATTGTTTTGGCCCCATCTTTGACCAATAAAATTTCATGTAATATTTACAATAATAATAATAAATATAAAACAAATGTTGATAAATTAAAAAAATCAGGAGTTGTATATAAAATTAATTGTAATTGCCAAAAATCAAAAAATTATATAGGTGAAACTAGTAGAATGTTAGAATTAAAGAACACGAAGCAGAAATAAGATTAAAATACAATAATTCTCCGTGGTTCAACCATATAAGAAATAGTAATTGTCAAATAGATAGAAATAACATAAAAATAATTCATTCAGAAAAAGATATGTATAAATGTAAATTTAAGGAACATATTAAAATTATAAAATTTAAAGATGATAATTTAATTAATATATCAAATGGTATGCAAATAGATCAACAGTGGTACAATATGATAGAGGGCACTAAGGGAAAAAAGTGATTGTAATGTATTTGCCATACATAGTGTTGTATTAGAAAATGAATGGAAATATATTGTGAAATTATGAAATTATATATGTATTCTCTTGAAAATGATTTTAATATTACTATACTGCATGTGATTAACCTGTAAAACTATTATAATTACAGTTACTGCAATGTTATGTTGTAGAAAATGCACATTCTTTAAAAGTTGTACTGTACTTATATAAGTTTTTATGAGCACATGTTGAAAAATATAAAAGTGAGTATGTATCATATTATATTGTTATTTTATTGGAATATGTGATGTTATGAAGAAAAAAATTATAAAAATATTAATATATTAGGTTTTCTGTATGAATGTTTGGAAAGTGTATTTTTGGTGTTTTTAATGGCTGCATTAAAAAATCTTCTCAATGTTACCCGTTATATGCTGTGGTTTTAGAAGACAGAACCATATGTATTGTATAAATGTGGCAATTTTTAAGTATGATAGTTTTATGTCAGTAAATATGACCTACACACGAGAAATTTTGTCATGTTACTAATTGTGGTTTTTTTTTTTTTTAATAATTTATAGTATTGCACTGAAGAGGGCTTAGCATTTATATAAGCCTGAAATGCATATGTGAAAACAATAAAAGAGGTGTCTAACCTGAAAGCTGTAATGATAGTCTACCGAACTTAATTTTGGATTAAAGAGACATACATTCAAAATATTTACATATGATAACTTAAAATTTATAGTGTACAATTATTTTGAATATTAGTCATAAAATAGTATTTTTATTCAAATTGAATACAGTAGAACCTCGATTATCCGGACTAATTGGGGATGAAGGTAGTCCGGATAATGAAAAATCCGGATAATCGAAAATCCGGATAATGGAGGTCCGGATAATGGAGGTTCTACTGTACTTGTAATATATTTCAGAAAAAGATAAAATATATGATTAGCATGAATCATTTCTAATATAAAATCAAATATTCCCATAAAAAAGAAATACATTAAACTAATTAATAAAATTTTCATTAATTAATCAAAGATGGCTTTATGTGAAGTTAAATGAATTTTCTTGTATTGAATTCTATTTTTATCTTGGATGAAATTTGTCCTTCATACTTTTAAGATTTATACTTTGAATTTATGTTTTTTGATGCATGTGACTCAAATTTGACTGGCTCAATTTTGTTAAACTTGCAAGACATCAGGTTGATGTTTAGCAAAAATAAAGATTAATTACTGTATATTTGTTCTAAATTATGTAAAACATTCATGCAATGAATTAAAGCTACTTTTTTTTTTTTAAACCTATTTATTAGATGACATGTTAACTGCGGCCTGGTCTAAGTTCAGTGGTGACTACTTAATCATATTTGTTTTATATGGAATTGCTTATAATAATATAATAATTTTAGCATTTTTTTTGTTATATTTGAAAAATTATACAAGTTTATTAACTTGGATATTTTTAAATCTTTTATATTTTCTTCTGATTGTATAAATATTGAGAATTTTTAAATCATTGTAATCACTGGACATGTATTGTGTTCCATTATCTTCAAATAAGTTATTTTTAACTAGTCTACAAATAAAAATATTTTAGAGAACAATGTTATTATTTTACTTCTGTATAAATAATTAAAAAAAAATAAATCTTACAACTATTATTTGAAAGTTTTTTATATTTATTGATTATTTTCTTTTACATAGGAATGTGAAGATAAATCTCCAATAGATGGTAGAGATTCAACTCAAAATCTTTTGCAATCAGTAAAACTAAAACCTGTAAATTTAGCTCAATCTTTAAAATCCCCATCAGAAAGTTTACAATTAGAAAAGCATGAAGAAGTTGTAACTTCTTTAGGAAGACCTACCAGTTCACCAATTATTAATATATCACCAGGTAATATCTTAATTAGAATTATTATAAAATATACTAAGCACTTGGCTTTGCTCAAGAACTGTAATGATATGTAACGTATAATGAATATATTATATAACCAGCAATAACATAGAAAACTGGTTAGATGGCTTAATTTTTTTTTCATATTTACCATTTCTTCTTACAAGGAGGGATCAAGGATCAGTCTATCTTTGCATTTCATTCCCTGTTCTAGCATTACAAGGATACATTTTTATTTAAAACGTTAATACACATCCATACATTCATATTGTCTACTGTAATTTAAAGAGATTGGAAAATAAAATTACATGAACCATTTGCTTATAGGAAAATAAAACAAGATTGCTCACTTGGCATATGTCAAAACCAAGAAGTTGTAACTTGTCAAGAGTTCTTGTAAAGTCAAAGATAAGTTTTCTGAATACAACCATTATGCAACAAATTTGCATGTATTAGATCAAAGAGAAAATATATCTGTATAAGCATGATTATGCAACAAATGTTTGCATGAAGAAGTTCAAAGAGAAAATATATTCTTGTTAACATGATTACATGAAAGAAGTTTGTAGGTAGATCAAAGAAAAATTATAAATATAATTTTTCTTTGTCATGTGACAGAATAGTCCACATATAGTGTTGCAGCTCTTTGCGTGTGCTTTTATTTCTCAGAAGTATGTATACTGTATTTCATTATCTTGATTTGTATTATTTTCATCAGCATGCTTCTAAAGCTGCATTCTTTCAGTAAGGAATCTGGAACACTCACTGAAAAGGTGTTTAGTATCTTGAAATTTTTATCACAATCTCATGTTGTGGCAGTCTTATGACTGATCCTTGAAAAATAGGCCTTGGTGTTACAGCGACCTGACATCAGTTGCATCATGTTCACAGGAATTCAGTTAAGTTACTGTATTTTTTCTTCAATATTCAGAAGCAGAGCAGAGGAATGCCTGCCTTTGTTGCTGCTATTCCAGTACTCTTGCCATTGTGCATTGTTTTGTTTCTTATCAGTTTGTTTATGCAAGAAATTAGCAATTTATCATAAGAAGAATCAGGAGCTATGGTTGCCTCCTTTGACAGCATATCTGCTCATTTGTTCTCAACAATACCATTAATTAATGGATCTCACCCATCTGAATGCAATGTTTACTGTATGATTCTTAATCATATTCTTTATTTGTAAAACTTGTATTCTGATCAGTGTACTGATTAGTAGTGTCTCCGGCACTATGGCTATCAGTGTGTATGATAATATTTTCATCTGTACCATTTAGTATGCCCTACTTTGTGGTCTCATATACAGCCAACATTTCTGCCTGAAACACAGAGCATCTATCATCCATCCTGTATTTTGAATTATGAATTTTTTCACTATTCCTATATGCTACATAGGCAGTACCAACTCTATCATCTGTTTTTGATCAATCTGTATAAATCTGACACCATGTATTTTATTTTCTAAAGCAAGGTTTATGCCTATTCTTTTATTAGGTCTGGGCAGTTCCTGGATTGTTGGTCTGATTTCATAATCAGCCACCATGTATTGTTTGGTTCCAATGTTTACTGCATGCATCTTCCTTACGAAATACTTATCCACTTTCTCTTGAAGCACCAAATCAATAGGTGCTGTGCCAGCTATCACCAGCATGGCCTCTGTAGAAACCATCCGAAAAGTCTTAACTATGCATATCACTCCATTTCTTTGCTAGGTGCTATGATTTTTGATTTGTTAAGGAACGGAAAAGACATCCCAGACCGAAATAAGCTCTCCGGCGTCTACACCATCCCTATCATTGATCACAGGTGTGATAGAAACATGATCTACATAGGATCAACTAAATGCCCCCTAGTAACCCAGATCAAAGAGCATAAAGCGGATATCAACCATGAAAGAACCAACATAGCTCTTGCCGTATAATCGTCGGACCTTGACATAGAACCCATATTCTCTCAAGCAAAGGTCATTCACACCACCCACCAACTCAGATGGCTGGAGGCGATCTACATATGCCTAAACACGAGTGAAGGACATAATTGCATTAACTACAAGAATGAAATCGCTCTATCGACGGCCTGGCAGGCCCTGATAGATAAATCGCTAAGATAGAGCACACCATGCATAATGTGCAAGTCCGTAGTGATGTCATTGGGTCGGGACATTGTTCCAGATTGTATTTCATAACAACTTTGAACCGCATTCCGTTAGGGGATCATTACCTGAAGAAAAACCGTAACGGTTCAAAAATGTTTGTAACTGTTGTAAAGTGTGTTGGTACGTGCACCGGTAAAAGGTTTATAGATATGAGTTGTTGATATTGATTTGAGCCAAAATCATTGATTGAGCCAAAGATTTCATTGAAGATGTTGCTGTAAATGATTGATTAAGATTTTATTGACAATACTGCTATATACAATGTATGATAGTATAACACTGTAGTGGTACTTTGCTTATACTCCACCATTTGCATCAATGATTGCATATTGTTTAGTATTCATTTATGCTGAATTCTTATTATTGTATTAATTTTTATGTTAAATAAGTTCACCAAACAAGTTTTCTATGGAAATATCTATAGCAGCTGCTGAAGTTATGGTGAGGTGCAGAAATTGTTAGGAATGCTGTTTCTTTTATCTACTTCTTTGTGGTTTATATTTTATATCTTTTGTATAAGTTAATCCCTAGTTTTTTGCTTCAAAACATTAACTTACATTCCAATCTATACAGTATTTCAATTTTAATTTCAAATCTTAGTTTCAACTTATATGCCAATATATTTTTTCTTGGCTATAAATGTTATGATTTTGCTATCTCATGTCCAAATACATTGAATTTTATTAATTAATACAATTTTTATGATTAAAATAATGATTTATGCAATTAAATCATTAGACTAGTTAATTAGTAATTAAATTGTTGATAATTTAATCTGACTAATTAATTAATATTTGAGAAAAGCTCTGCATAAGTCAGAAAGTGTTTTATCAATGGTCAAAGTTTTTAAAACAACCACACAACCACTAAACCTGACTTTTTGCAAATGTGTGATGAAGTTGTAATTTTGGAATTCGATCTACAGGCATTTCAGGTCCAAGTTCACTAAGTCTATGGACCAATTGCCAGTTGTAAGCTGATTGTGCACTACATGTCAATTGAACAATTGCTGTCAATTTACATTGATCTCTACAACAGTTATTTATTTTGACATTTATGACTTGCAAGTTATGACATCTTTCTTTAACATGCACCACAGATTATGAACCAGATAGCCAATTCCCTTAGATTCAATGGTAGTCAGTCTTAGGATCATAGTGCCCTCACTGGTAACAGACAGAAACAAGCTATTCTATTAAATGTGTTCACTCCATTCAAAATTTTGATTCTATTAATTAAACATTTTATTTTTAAGATTAATTCTATTACTTTTTAAACATTAAATTAGCCTTCAAATTTAATATTAAACTGATGCATTTTAAAAAATCTGATAACTGATCATATTTTTCTGGATAATTCACAATTTTGTTATTTTTTTTATACATTATAATAATTTTGATTTTGTAATGGTCAATAGTAAAACAAGAAAAACAGTATCCTTATTTAATTGAAAAAAATTTAATTATATTCAATATATAAGAGAGTTACAGTACATATTATTTTCTGTTAGACTATAAGTAGAAGATATTAAAACTAATGGCATTGACTTTAAACATATTTAGTTTTATAAAAGTTAATTTGTTTGTTTCTATTATTATACAAATTATCAAAATGTCAATTATAACTATGTAATTTAATTTTACCAAATCTTAAACATATGTTTTAATCATGAATAATAAAAGTTTATTATAATTTTAAAAAAGATATTTTTAAAATCAAGATGGTGGATTTCTAGTTAAAGTCAATATCATTCATATTAACAATATTTTCTACTTATATTAAAAGAAAACCTACCTATATTTGAAAACTTATTTATTTATTAATCATAAAAATAAAGACAAAGGATTTATGTCTAGTCAAATATCATCTGAGAATCATCCAAACCGAACAAACTCTCCAAATAAATGAATGGTTCTGCCTGTAACTGGTGAGGATGCTACAAACACTTTTCAAGAGTTGTCTGTCTGATCCATAATCTGAGACATACACAGCCTGCAGCAGTGCACATGGATGTTTTAAACATTTCTTGACATTTTTTTCAGTTATGATGTTGGACATGCATATCCTTCCCCAAACATGTGGATTTTAAATTGGTTTATACAGAACATTAGAAGCATATCATCAAATTTGTGTTTTTGTGTAAAGCCAAAACAGAAAAACTTACACTGCAGAGCTCAGTTTTGTTTTCCTTTGTTTTCCCCTTTAAATAAAGTACTCCCAGTTAATAAGTTACTCGTAGTATTTACTGCTTCATAGTGAATCATTATTTAATAGGTGGTTCCCCTCAATTGGGAGAAAGTGGAAGTAAATTTGGATTTGCCCTAAAACCTAAGCCACCTCCAATTGCACCTAAACCGCGACCAAAATCTGTTGGAGGTACAACAGAATTACATCTTACAGGTATTGTAAAACTTATATAAATTTTTTATAATGCATATTAGTTCTATTCGATAATTTTTTAATCCCAGTATCAAAATGTCACACATCCAAAAATTTAAACCAAAGATTAGTGTCTGTTTTATGAAAGATAATCAATAACCCTGAAAATTTGAAAGGAAATTACATTTAAAAAAACTAGTTCATTTTAATAATGAATTTATATTGAATTTTTTCTATATGCAAATCGTAAAATAATATTTACTTTTTTTTTAAATCAAACTATGCTAATAACTACAGTGGAACCTCACTTAATGAGCATAATTCGTTCCAGAATCTTACTCATAATGCAAAACACTCATTAAGCGAAACAATTTTTCCCATATAAATGAATGTAAAATATGATAATGCATTTCACACTGAAAAAATACTCAAATATTTTATATATAACATGTATTCAAAAGAAATTTTACTGTACAGGTAGCCCTCGGTTTACGCCGATTCACAATAACACCGCTGCACAATTCACGATTTTGCTGTGTAATTCCCCGATTTTCCCTATGCCAGACTGATTTCCGTTTCAGTGTTGACGTATTTACCGAGCCGCGACATTGTACATTCGTTAAAACAAAGATTTTTATTGAATTTATTTATTTTTTCTGTTTAATATTATTGGGTATGTATACATTTGCATTAAATTAATATTAAAATACTAAACGTTTAGGTACCCACGAGTCAAGTTATCAAACTTAATATCCAATAAATTGCATCCAAATCCATAGCGCCATTGAATTTATCCCGTATCAGTTCGTTCGGGAAAACACCCTACGACGCAGTAGCACTTCCGCCGATCACAAACTATCGTTAGTGAGACAAATCTACTTCTCGTTGGCCAGACGATATCTATCTCTCCTTAATTTTCCTGCTCAAACTGACCTTACATATGCGCTACAGCAACGGTGGTCGACCAATCAGTGTCTCCGCTCGTCCGTAGCTCTACATCGGGTTAATGTATCCTTTCGACTATGGAAAGTTTGACAGTTGAACTTTGTGAGTTAGGCAATGATTGGGAGCGAAGTGCGAATGTAAAAAGGAGCATTGTCGCATCCATTCGACCATATTCTGAAATTCTCAATGAAAGAAAACAAAAATGTAAACAATTAAAGATGGATACTTTTTCCAAAAAATGTAAGAGATCCGAAACTAAAATTTTTAATAAAAATATTTAACTTTATTTTATGATAAAATACATTTTAAAAATTAAATTTATTTGTACTTTGTATTATATTGAATTAATAAACAAAATTATTTGCGTATTTTTCACTTATGTGGAATCTAACGCTATATCTCAGTGTAAATATGGGTTCGTTTTATGCCGATTCGATTTGCGCCGGCTTTTGTAGGAACGGAACTGCGGTGTAAACCGAGGGCTACCTGTATTTAATCATAGCCTTTACATAGCCCAAGAATTTGGCTTATTATTTAGTGTGTTTATTATATAACGGGCTATGGTTGTTGATGTTTATTTATAATATGTCTGAACACAAGTTTGGAAAATGTGTTATCACAAGCGACACTAAGGGTCGAGTTATAAACTCTGTAATGTAACCGTATGGTCATACCGTATTCGGTAAGAAAAGCTTGGATCAACCAAACTTATGGTAGGGATACTGCAAATTGACGAACTGCACATGTGCTAAGTCAGTTGCTATACAATCAGAAGTTGTACCGGAAGCAACAAATTGGTTGAAACATATCTTTTGACTGGCAATGCTACTTCTGAATAATATAAAATTTTAAGATAAGAATTACTTTGGTCATAAAAAAAAAATAGAAAAATGAATAAATAATTATAGTGTTAGATCTGGCAACATCAGCCAATGATTTTGCGCATTCTCAAAATGGACTGCTTCATAAGCCATAAAAAAGTTTGTTCTGTAAAGGATAAGGAAACGGCCTTACTGTATTTTATAACTATTGCTATAGATATTTAGTGTAGCAAACATTTATGGATATGGTTATGTTTTGGAGTTTATAACTTGACCGTAAGATGCTAGCAGAATGAGTGCTAAACACAGACTGATGGAGCATGCACACAATCTGAGACTTCTCCTCTCCTCATCGCTTGTTAAGTGAGTCATTTTTTCACAATTTGTTTTGCTCATTATGTGAGGTTCCACTGTATAGTATTTTCCAGAATAAAAATAGAGTTTATGTGCTGGATCTTGAATGTGTAGCAATCTGCTGCCATAGCTAAGCAGCAATGCTATAGTAACAGTTAAATAAAAGAAATGTTTTTATTCAAAATCTGACCATCCTCAGTTGAAATCTTTGAATAATGTAGCATAGAAAATATTCAGTAAATTAGAATATTCTTATGATTCTTAATGGTTCAATACAAAATGAGAGAAGTGATTGAAATAAGAAAATACTCATGTTTTTGCTTATATCATAATTATGTTTTTAATTTTTTTACCATTAAATGATGAAATATTTGAGTGGATAAAACAAAAATTAATTGGCAATGCATTTGCATGGTAAGCAGGGGTTTCTGGTTTTAGTCCTTCCCTGGACCAATTCTATTCTTTTCTTCTAGAAATTCTAAATTAAAATTAATATACTATAATTATTAAAATTATCACAGGATGGCAACATAACTGCCTACCCTCATCAAATTATTTACAATTAGCCGTATTATGGTCTGATATTTTGGTAGATAATTTGGTAAACAAAATATAAACATCCATTAACCCGATTTTTAGATGGTATACAAAAATTAGTTAAAACATTAAGCAAGCAGAAAACAAATAAAATAAGATAATATAAAATTAATTTTTAATTAATGAAATTATAGTCATTAATAAATTATATTGTGAGAATATGAGTGAGGATATATATTATAGGATAGGTCACTGGATGACTTTTATAGAGTATGGGATAGGTCACTGGATGACTTTTATAGAGTATGGGAGACAGGAATTGATTCTATTTCCTGTCAGGACTGACACCAGTTAGGATAGGATTAACACATCCTGACTTGCGATATAAATTTAATACGTTTAAAAATTAGGAGGACTCGATTTCTTTGAGTGGGGAGACCGTAAGTCCGTTGAAAGTTATCCATTCCATTTTAAATTAATTAACTACTCAATTAACCAAAGGAACAGTCATATTAACAATTAACAAATAAAAGTTTAATAACTAAAATAAAAGAATACATTGTCGTCAAATCAATTCTAAATTAATTATATCTAATCTACGAGAGAGAGAGAGTGTACATAAAAAATGTCTACCTATGACATTTTAACAAATACAACATAATACCTATGAGTATATTCATTGAACTCACTTCATATGAAAGACGGAAGTCTGGAGATCAGGCACAAAATTGTATGTATTGACGGAATGACTGATTATGGTTAATCTGTGTGGAATCTAGCATGTAAAACCCTTTTATATCAAAAATATTCTCTAATCAGGAGCTCTTATCGTGATCATTTATTTGACAATGAGTCAGTTTAGCTCAGTATTTAGTCATCAGATATGAACTTTTTGATATGAACTTTTAAGGAAGTAAACGATTAGGAAAGGAAACTGTATTTCCTTATCCTCTTTTAATTTCTCTCAAAAAGTAGAAAATTGTCAAATTTAATATCAAAATATAATGTCAAAATTTAAATTAATAAAAATTAAATGAATCTTATAATCAGATTCTCACAATATCGTAGAGGTTGTTCACTAAACTGAACTATCTCTATGCTATATAACCATGAATAGCATAATCTAGTTATTGAAGACACAATATAAATAAGAAAGAAAATGGAGACTTGAACTTACAACTAATCTAATCACAGTGTGCAGAATTTCAATCTCATTACACTCATGATTACGAATATTTTGTTGTTATAAATATTGGTTAATACTCATATCAAATATTTCATCTCATCAAACAGGAGAGATAAAACAAAACACTTTTTAAATCTGAATTCTCATATGATGAGTACTTGTGAATATGTTTATAAAATAAACTTTGTCTCTACTCATTAGACCTCCTTGACAAAGTGATTCAGGTTTCCACTCAACAGAACCCATTTTCCAGAGGGGGGTGAGTTAGCGTGAGCAGGGCCGGATTAACCGACTTTGGGGCCCTAGACATTTTCTTCTTACGGGCCCCCCTTTCTCACACTAGAAATAGAGCACACAAAAAATATAAAACAATAAATAAAACAAAACTAAATAATGTGAAAAACTAAAACAAATCTTAAATTTTTATTAATAAAAAATATTTAATACACAACAATAAATTTTAGTTTTTCTAGAAAAGTTTGAACAATTTGTTTATAAATTTAAAAAATTGAAATTTGTTTTATTAAACGTCTAACAAAAGTTGTTGTACAATAACAATATTTACCTTAAAATATTAATTGTCAACAAGACTATGTGTTGTCTATAAAATCGTACTGCCTGCTGTGTTACCAGCTTAGAGGTATAAAGGTGTATATGTCAGGAGTTGCAATTTGGCACAGAGTATTAAATGCCCAAATCATGCGCGCATAAAAAAAAAAACACAGACTTGTAGGTACTCAGAGGACCCATACCGAGTCAAAGTAAAATACAAAATGGCGACTCTGTCTACAAACAGGCAAACCGAAGTCAGGTGGTGAGAGTAACACCCGCAGTCGTTCTAGGAAATGGACTCTGACTCTAGGACTGAACACGTAGTATTTTCTTTGTTAAATAAAATTTGTAATCTAATTTTGTAAATTTGGGAATGCTTCATATAACATTAATGTTATGTCGTTACATGTAGGTTTTTTAACGTTATCTAGTATACTAAAATCGTGGGACCGATAAAAATTTGGTGTTATGATCGGGTTAAACTGTATATTGTTCGTGCAAAATAAAAAAAAAATAATAATAATTTCGGACGATACAATAGCCACGATTATTTTTTTCAAAGACGGGAAATTTTCGTTAGGCATCGACAAAAATTCAACCCGGGCCGACGCGCAACGGAGAAAAAT